CAGGAGGAATATCAGGTGCATCTCCAGGCCCTGAGGGCTCAACTCCTCCACTTAAACCCCTCCCACTGGGGCGGCCGCTCAGTTTCAGAGAGCTGCCGGCTGAGATAGTCCTGCTCCTGGGCACTGTCCGCCTCCCGCCACTGCCTCCCGCTCCCTGCACTGCCTGCCTCCGGTAAGTACCTACCATTTCTTCTCAAATTCACCTTTTCTTTCAAAACTACTCTCAGCTGGATCTTAAACTACCTGGCTCAGGCGACTCCCGGGCTGCCCTGCTGTTCTCCGAGGATTACTCAGGACCCAGCAGGTGCATCGCTCAGAGCAGACCATGATTACAAAACTTTTAACAAGGTTACACTGTATTCTCAGCCTGTGAACAAGCTTACTTAAAAATTAAGGCCTCATTTCTACCATAAGACCCATGAAGTTTAAAACAAAACTCAAATTTATATTGCTTATCTGTTCCTCACCTTAAAAATAAGTTTCAACATAAAATGAGATCATGTATATACATATATGTGATTATACAGTTGCTGATTTTATAGTTTCCTTAATTTTAAAACCTTTTAAAGTTTAAAGTAAGTATTGTTTTAACAAAGTTAAAAAGAAACTTCACCAAAGAGAATCCCTCTGTATACAAAAGGAGGATTTTTTTTCTTTATAAAGTTTTTCATAAATTTGTATATAAGAACAATTACTGACCAAATTACTGGCCACATTTGAGCCGAGGCAGACCTCATTCAAGCAAAATCGGTCTACATTTCCTATCCTAATTTTTCTTTTGCATGAGCAAGTCCTTCCCATGCTTTAAACTGCTTTGGTTTTGTTTCTGTGAGGATAAGCGCAGGAGGCACATTGGGCTCCTTGGCTCTGGTGACAGCCGCCGAGCCATAAAGCTGTGCACTCACTGTGCAGAGCTGTCTGTACCACGGGGCCTCCGCTGAAACCAGAAGGAGCCCCTGGTTGTTCTCTGGACCCATTCTTCCAAACCCTGCTCTGGAAACTGCCTTTCTCCCTAGGTCACGGTTGTCCTGAAGGTTACCCTGCATTGTAAAGAACCAAAAGTCTGGGAGGGAGTGGCGGTTAATCACTGGAAAAGCTCAATCAGAGTAAAACTCACAAATCTTGTTCTTGCAACACCCCAGTGGGTAGGCGACAATGGCGTGTCCCTGAGTTATGCAATAACGCCACCTCACAATATCGTAATTATAGCATGCCCTTCAGAACGTTCCACCTGACGGGGCCCTCTGCCAGACAGCTGGACACACCGACAGGAGTCTTGCAGCATGATTTCAGCGCACAAGCTCATGTGCATGCCCGGCACAGCTGCCCAGCCCGGCACAGTAATGTTCCATAAAGTTAAGCTATAATTACCTCTATTGTGTCCTATCAGAGTTCCAAAAAAACCCTTCTCTTGTCTATTTTTCAGAGTTCAAACTCCTTAGAAACTTTTTAAACTTGCCAACCACTCGCTATTCTCCTAAGAACTGGCAGCTACAGTAACTGTCCATACTTAGCAAGCCATCAAAAGACCGAGCAATGGCAGTTCAGTGCTTCAAAAACAGGCAAACAAAGCCCTGTGGCCAACTGAAACCACATGTGGGCAGTTCTGCCCGGACGCTGTGGGGTGAGCGGGCAGCAGGGGGAGAATCGAAGCCGTCAGAGACGCCCTGCTCCTGCTCTTCCCACAGGCAAAAACGCCAATCAGCTTAACACAAGCAGATGTTTAAAATGCTTGAAAAGTCACAAAAAGGACAGGCACTTTTAAATGAAGTAGGAAAACCTCTTCAAGGGCTCACGGCAGACCTGTGCGTGTCTTCAAGCCACTACATCCCACTGTCTTCTGCCCTGTGTGGACACTGTGGGCATCAGCTGCTTAGCCTGGAATAGCTGAGACGAGGCAGCCAGGTGTGTGGGGGCTCTCCCTGTCAGAGGAGGTGCGTTCGAGAGCAGGGTGTGATGTACAAGCTCCTCTCCGAGGCAGACAGAGACAGCCAAGTGGGAGGGCAGGGGGATAAAAAACTCGGTCACATAAACCTTCAGAACAGGCAAACCTTGTGAATTTGCAAAGATGCTAAGACTGAAAGCCAAGCACAGGGTCCTGCTTTATGACTGTCTCACTGTACAGCTCTCTCCAGAGTATTAACTAAGAAACTCTCATCCCCAGAAAAAGGGTAGCGAAACACCTCTCACATCCCCTAGGAAAATCTTCTTCTGAATGCAAATCCCTTTACTACAAACAGTTAAAACTCTGCACTGTATTGTTGTGGCAACAATGCCCTTTTCTGGAACACCTGACACCAGCAGTTTTCGTTTTAGTTCCATCACCCTGTAAACCTCACTGGGCAGAGCTCTCAGACGTGTATCTTTCTTTAGGNACAGCCAAGTGGGAGGGCAGGGGGGTAAAAAACTCGGTCACATAAACCTTCAGAACAGGCAAACCTTGTGAATTTGCAAAGATGCTAAGACTGAAAGCCAAGCACAGGGTCCTGCTTTATGACTGTCTCACTGTACAGCTCTCTCCAGAGTATTAACTAAGAAACTCTCATCCCCAGAAAAAGGGTAGCGAAACACCTCTCACATCCCCTAGGAAAATCTTCTTCTGAATGCAAATCCCTTTACTACAAACAGTTAAAACTCTGCACTGTATTGTTGTGGCAACAATGCCCTTTTCTGGAACACCTGACACCAGCAGTTTTCGTTTTAGTTCCATCACCCTGTAAACCTCACTGGGCAGAGCTCTCAGACGTGTATCTTTCTTTAGGCTGCCCCCTTGAAAGCCTACAAAAGCCACAAGTTGACCCCACTTGTTTCTCTGACATTACTGAACTTTATAGCCGAGTGAACTACACCCATCTCCGCTGGCACCTGAAGCTGCCGTGTTCCTTCTTTTAATTAGCAATTATGCAATCCTGAGAGGTCAGTTTACCCAGAGTTAATGCCACTGCCACACCTGTGACTCCAGGGTGGGCTGGCCTTCCAACCACGAAACCCTGGAGTACCCTCACCTCTGAAAACACCAAGGGATCATCCCCTGAAGCCTGTGTACTGTCCCTGTATGTCAACCGGCCAGACAACAAAAACCTTAGGCACAACATCTGAGTAAAAGAAGTAGATATTAACATAAAACAATCATTTCCCAAAGTATTCTTTCAGGTAATATTATATCTTACATATAACTTGCCTCCTATAAACCTTTGAGAAACCTTAACCAACCTGGGTTTATTTATATTTTTGCCTAAAAATATCAGCAATGTTAGATAAGAATATTCTAAACCTCACATCATTTTCTTAAATCTGGAGGGAACTTTCTGCTCAGTTGAGCTCTAGTGTTTTAATGCTCGAGGGGGTGGATCTGAGTCCACTCTCGGTATCACCAGGGCTCTGGGCTCACACCTGATAAACGTTTTGCAACTGTCATCATCTGGATGGTGCTGCTGCAGTCAGTGATGAAATCACCAGTGTTCAGATCTCTGCCATAACACATCCTATACAACCCTGGGAAGCTGACTTGCAGAGGTTCTCACGCCTCCAGAACCAGAGAGCATAATGAGACGTGCCACCACAGGCCCTGCTGACTTATCTGGCTGGCCCAGTGCTGGCTGGAGTCGCTTGATGACGGGCAGCAAGGAAATTGTGCTTTTATCACCCAGAGTGTATCTGCCCCCCAAGGTATGGACTGAACTCGTAAAGAATTATTTCACGTTTTTGCTATAATAAGCAGGGAAATTAGAAAGACGCAGAGCTATGATTACCAGTGTAATTTGCTCAGCTTTGACAAGGCCATGCTGCAGCTCCTGGCTGCACGACTTGGGAAAAGAGGAGGGGCGACCTGGAGGGCAAAGCCAGGCCGATGAATGCCCCAAGAGGGCGGACCCCCTTCTCCAGGGTTGTGGGGCAGCCAGAAATCTCCTCTCATCCAATATGGGTACCTCAGTCCCCTGCTCTGCCCAAACTCTCAGAAGTCTCAGGCATCAGTAAAGCCTCTTTCCACCCACCCAAACTGCCTCAGTAAACAAAACAGGTCTTTGAAAGAGCTGGGTGATAAAATAGCTCCACAGAGGCAGTTTGTCAGTGGGAGAGTGGTTCTTTGTATTTTTAAGAAATATGAATAAATGAGCAGAGAAACCAGTTTGCTGAGAATAAAATCAGACAGCTTTCTTAGAATTTAAGGTATCCAAGTGAAAATTAAGACTCCACCCCTCCCACTTTCCCCTCTCCTCCCACAAAGGGCCCATTACCTCATCTCCCGAGTGTGGGACCCAGGCAGAGATGCAGCTAAGGCAACCACTTTGTGCTGTGAAAGCAGGTCTCTTAGGTTTCCCACACAAAGGCTGCTTTCCTGGTGCGTGTCTGCCAACCGTGTGGAAGAGGTGTGTGGAGAAGGTGCTGCTTTGTATGTGAAATCCAACCACACTTACTCAAGCCTTTAAAGCAAAACTACAGCTGAAAGTGCTGTTAAATTGTTTCCTTTGAACTGTACTCTTAAGAAAATACGTAAAAGCTGAAGACCTTTTCCTTCCCCATTTTTATGCAAATGGAGTACCGAGCCTGACTCCCCACACCTCAGGGCAGCCTCCCCCACCCACACGTTTCTCCAGGACGCAGGCATTCCAGGAGCTGGTCCTCCCAGAAGGCACGTCTTGGTTTGGCAGGAGGCAGCCTTAGAGCCCCAGGGTGTGCAGAGCAGCTTCTAAAGGAAATCAGGGCTGAGACCTGCTGTTAAGCCTGGGGTGGTGGCTGGGGAGAGGAAGACCCTCTCGGGAAAGTAACCTGAAGACGAGACACACCAGCAGCACCTGCTGGGACCCAGGGCCTGGGGGAGGGACAGCCCTGTGAGGTCCTGCCTGCCCCTTCCCAAGGACCTGAGTGGGTGTGGCCTGAGGCCTGGATGGCCCAGGGCCCACTTCCAAGGTTAAAGGCTGGATGGCTTCCTACCATGATCCAACCATCTCTAAAACACGCACCACTAACTATGCTTTTTCTTTAACCAAAGCTCTGGTTCTGCCATTTGGAGGTAAGGCCAAGAAAGGCAGGCACCCACCCACTGGCCACACTCTCAGCCGCCCACAGGCATCTGTGTTTGCTGGTCAGGCGGGGACAGGGAGCTACCTGAACCTCTCCACACCGCTCACCAGGTGGGCAATGGAAATGGGCAATGACCAGAACCAGACATTCGGTCACTCACAGGCTCACCTTGACAGCACCTCAAACCATGCAAGTTTGTGGAGCCCACTTCCGTCTGTACTTGAGACAGTGTAGTTACCATTTCATCTGATGTTAGGAGCATTCTGGTGAGATCACATTTCTAAATGTACTTTTAATACCTACACACAGACTACGTGATTCAAGGGCAGCCCAGTCGAGGAGCGTTTCCTGAGTGTTACAATTACACGTTCCCTGTTCTAAGTGAACACACACGCACAGGGTCAGGCATCCGGCATCACATTCAGCGCAGTAAGACCACGCTGTGATAGGACTTAGGGCCAGAAACTCTGTGGTCGTGGATAGGGCAGGATCCCAACGGTCACTCAGCCACTCAGTCCACAACCTTCCTGGCATCTGAGGCCTAAGGTCACAGGAAAAGGGTTCCCAAAACTCAAAGAATGACAGGTATTTTCAGAATTGACACCAAACACTTCACACACCACACTCTTGGCCCCAAGGAAATTCAGGTCAGACTTGAGAAGACAGAAAATGTGGTTCCAAGTAGGGGCTGCTCACCCTGACCCACACCCACAGGGGGCTGGTTACATCTCGTGTCTCCAGGTGCCTTTGCTTCAAACCCCCACTGATCAATGTGAGAACAGGTCTTCTCTGTTGGCCCATAAGTCAGTGTCCTGTCACTAAGGCTCTGCTCCTCCTTTGCAGCTCCCAGTCCCCAAAGGAGCGAGACTTTCTCCTTGGCAGACCTGCACACGTGGAGCTAGCTTCAAATACAAGCAGTGGAAAGGAAAACGAGCAGCGGTGACACTTCTGTAAAACCACCACGTGTGAACTAAATAGGATCCAGCTGGAGCGGATCACGGGGGGACCAGAGCCTGAGCTGTGAAGAGGAAGATGAGTCTTCTCAAAGAACGGAAACCAAAAAAGCCGCATTATATTCCCAGGCCCCCAGGAAAACCCTTCAAGTACAAGTGTTTCCAATGTCCCTTTACCTGCAATGAAAAGTCACATCTTTTTAACCATATGAAGTATGGTCTCTGTAAAAACTCCATCACTTTAGTATCAGAGCAAGATCGCATCCCCAAGTGCCCCAAATCTAACTCTCTAGACCCTAAGCAAACTCATCAGCTGGACCCCACAGCCAAGCCCACCTCCTCCAAATCTGTCACAAACAGGCTCCCCCACTTGGATGCCAAGCTCCCACTTGGCCTTGCCAAAGATGATGCCAAGGAGAATCTGGAACTACAGATGCGTGGACCCCACAAGGGCCCCGGACAGAAGCCTGCTCTCCTCAAAGAAGCAGAGCACCAGGGTCCAGCCCAAGAGGCCACCACAGGCACCCCACCTACTCTGGAAGGCATCGTGAGGCCCTCTGCCTTCGTTCCCATTGGAGAGCACAGACTCAAAGGGCCAGAACACGCGGAGGCTCCCGAGGCACTGGTACTGCCAAGCCCCACTGCTAAGGCCACCACTTTCCACACCAAGTCTGCATTCCATGCCCCAGCCTACCCGTGGAAAGCTGGCTCACCTTTCCTCCCACCCGAGTTTCCACATAAAATCCCATCCACAAAGGGGTTTGGTGCCCTTTCCCCTTACATGCACCCCACAATTCCAGAGTACTCACCCCACTTTTACACGGAGCACGGACTGGCCACCATCTACTCACCCTACCGACTGGCTGGGAACTCGCCCGAGTGTGACACCCCTCTGCTGTCAGTCTACGGAACCCAAGACCAAAGACATTTCCTGTCTCACCCAGGGCCGATGCCCAAGCACTTGCACCCATCCCCCTCGACATATGACCATTACAGGCTTTTCCAGCAGTACCACTCCAACCTGCCCATTCCTTACGGATTTTACAGACCAGAGTCTGCGTTTTCCTCCTATGGTCTCAGACTCCCACCGGTTGCCAGTATTTCACAAGATCAAAGCTCTCACCTACTAGAAGAAGCTGCCCTGGTCTACCCAGCCTCAAGTCCATCCAAGTTAAACCCTTCCAACTCCCACAAAAAACACACACAATTTGAGAAAGAGAGTCTGACTCCCGAGGCTGAAGACACTTCCAAAGACAGGCAGAGGGACACGGAAGGGACCAAGATGAGCCCACGTGCAGGCAGCGCAGCCACTGGCTCCCCGGGAAGGCCGAGTCCCACCAACTTCACACAGACAAGCCAGCCATGTGCTGGGCTAGGCGACCTCTCAGATAAGCCCAACACGAATGCCCTGGGAAGGCTCCAGCAACCAGAACGGAGCCTCACAGCCTTCAAGCCCGTCAAGAAAAGCACCGAGCACCCACATTCCCAGGCTCCGGAAAACAGAGATGACTCTCCAAAAAGGTAAGAACATTTCATTTCAAAACTTCCAGTCATGCCTCTGGTTGTGCCCAGTTAGCAAGCTTAGACTCACTCAAAACTTCACACAGTTTTTCTAAGGAACGTCCCTACTAAGCCTTCTCTTCTTTGCCTCTTTCAGCCTCGATGCCATGGATGTCGACGCTCCGCCACAGACAGGAAGCACCTCTCGCAGCATGGAGGCCATGCCGCCCAGCCCAGATGATGGCTCCAGGATAGCCCCACTGAACCTCTCCAAGAAACCGGAGACCAAACCAGCAGCCACTCATGACCTCATGTACAGAGACTTCACAGAGCTGCAGGACGTGCCTCTGAATCTCTCGGTGAAGGACCCCTGCAATGCCCGGACCCCAAGGCCCTCCCTCCACAGCCCACTACCAGAGGCAGAACCCGCCGCTGCTGCTCAGAAGGCCGAGCTAGAAAGTTCTGGGAATGGGCCAGGACCTACCGAGATGAACCAAAATGGCCTTGGCTCTGATGCGGTTCCAGTGACCTCCCCTACTGGGAAGGCCCAGGATGCACGGGCAATGGACAGCAGTGACGAGCAGAAGCAGACGGCAGCTGTGGCCCTCTGCCAACTGGCGGCCTACAGCCCAGGCACCGTCCGGGTGGGCGACGGGGAGCCGGCAGCCCAGGAGTCCACTTGCCAACAAGACAGGCCTGCTGTCAGCACCACGGCGAGCCAGGAGTCTCAGAGTGACCTCAGACCCAAAGGGCAGAAGAGGACAAGCCCACGGGATGCGGGGAAGTCCCAGCAGGGAGCTAAGAAGACAAAGCTGAGCGAAACAGCCAGAGTGTTCACTCTCCGGAAAAGAACTCGTGTGTCTTAGTGCTGGCTCGAGCGGTTATGAAGGGCTAGGGCCACACCACCTTTGAAGGCAGGTCACCGAACAGCAAATCTGCAACGGTGCCTTCATTTTTTTATCTGGTCGATTTTTACAAAGCAGTTTTTCCTTCTCAAAAAAAATAATAAAAGCTGCAATTTGGTTCACTTTTTGTAAATATTAAGCATGAATGTTACAAGGTGCTTCCACTTGGGATTGTAAAAATATTTGAATGACTCATACTCTAAGACTGATGAGTGAGACCCAGGCTTTTGTTTTTGTAAAATGTCAAATGAAATAGGTAGGACTAAAAGGTAACTTTTAGGTATAAGCCATGTCATAGAAAGTCATTTAGAAATACTTTTCTTATAAGTATCTTAGCACTAGAACAAATTGTCTTAATTGCATTATTAAACCTGTGTGTTTTGAAGTAAAAAACAATTTCTGGAAATGCCAGAAAAGCATTCTCAGTACTAACATTAAAAACATTGTGATTTGTTATGACTAAATAATACACAAACATCAGGAGGCTATTTATACAAATAATTTATTTCCATTAGAGAAAATATATGATGGTGAAGCTGTTATCAATATACTCTACTCCACACAATGTCAGTGAATTCTGACTCATCCAGGCTCCTTCTCCACTTCCTAAAATGATGTATATATTGTCAATTTCCCAATAAACTCAGATGAACTCTAAGGATACACAAAATGAAGACAAATATGAACTCTGTGTTATGCTTTAGAGTATTCTGCCATAATAAACTCAGTGAAAAAAGAAGACTAGAGCTGAGGCAACAATTAAAACACACAGAAGAGTGAGTGCAAGTGTGTATGTGCGTGTGCATGTGTGAGCATGCATGTGCACATGCAAACCAATGGTCACCAAGCCCAGGCATGTGCACCACCAGGGGCTCCTCGAGACTTTCTACAGGGCCTTCAGGCCCAAGCGCTGGGAGAAGGAGCTTCTAGGGCCTCAGCTTCCTAGACAGGCTGCCTGAGGAAAGGCTGGCAGGCGTTCTGAGCTCCTCCCAGCCCTTCACAATAGCCCTTTCTCCCACTTTCACCCACACCGCCTGGGGTATCAACAAAAGGCCCCTGAAAACGCCTGTGGTGCTGAGGGTGGGATTCAGTGCAGTGACTGGGGAGAAAGTCCTCAACCAGGCAGGTGGTTTTCAGCAAAATGCAGATCCAGTGATGTCATAGGACAAACGGATAAAGCCATTCCCAGCTGCCTGTGTACGTAATAAGACTTCTCGGTACAGAGCTAAACAGTAAGGTGTTTTAAATAAAAATAAAATATTCATGCAAAACCTTGCCTCATCCTCAGTATAAGGACTAAAAGACAGCCTGAACTGCCCTGGCCAGGATGCTCAGTTGATTGGAGCTTCGTCCAGTGTACCAGAAGGTGGTAGATTCAATTCCCAGTCAGGGCACATGCCTGGTTTACAGGTTCGATCCCCAGCTGGGGTGCATGCAGAGGGCAACCAATCGGTGTTTCTCTCTCACATCAATGTTTCTCTCTCTCCTTTCCTCTCTATAAAATTAGGAAATGAGAAAGGACCATACACGAAGAAAGGCCAAGCAAGGTCTAGCACACACTCTCCTGCAAACATTGTCAGTCAGTGAGGCCACAGGCAAGGTTGTGGGCTCACGCAGGCCATGCTGGGGAGAAAGGGAAAGATGAGGCACCCGTGTCTACAATAGTCCTGACAATGCAAAGCAAACATGCAGTAGGTACTCACCGTCCGGGAGTCGGGGAGGGAGCAGCAGGCCTCTTCTGCCCAGTTCTGCCAGGGCCAGACACCCGCCATGCCAGGCGTTGTCTGTCTCCTGAAAACTGAGAGCACACAGAACATTGAGACCAAAGTACTTTCCACCAAGGCCCAGTTTGCAGAAGTCCAAACCCCATGCCCGTAAGCCTCACCAGAACCTGTCCATGAGTTTTAAAACATCAGCTGGCTCAGAAAACACAAGACTCCAATGTAACTGGAGAGCACTGTCAGGCCTCCTCTCAGGTGCCCCAAAATAAGTCCTGAGTCGGCACCCCCCGCCACACACACACAGCAGGTGTGCTCCAGCAACTGCATACCCAGCAACTCACCTGTGAAAGATCTCGAACCACTGAGGGCAGTCTGCAACACACTATGTCCCGGGTCCTGATCAGGGATAACACTGTGGGGCCAGCAAGGGGCTAAACTATGATTTTCTAAGTGGTGGGACTGTGGGGACCACAGGAACTGACAGACAATACTCAGGAGATGGGGTACAGGGATGGTATGGAGGCCAGTCTGAGGCTCCCAGTAAGGTGCACTACATGGCCTGGCCTGGAAATAGCAAGGAGTGTGGTGAGTTCTGGAAGCAGGTGTGCTTACAGCTCATGGAACTGATGTTCTGTTTCTGACCCATTTCAAAAAAGGCTAGCAGCTCACCACACATCCCAGGACACAAAAGGAGGGGCGAGATCAGAGATGCAGCTGTGCCCTGTCTCTGCTGGCCCTGCCACCCCGGCCACCTCACACCACCTCTGCCCAGCCAGTCCTGCTTCTCTGCATCTCCAAACATCCTGGTCTGTGGTTAGCTCCTCTCTACGCCACGTTCAGTTGTCTCATGCCCACAGTGTGCAGGTGCCACCAGGAAGAGATAGCAACTTGGACACTGAGGCTGCTGCCCTGGGAACCACAGGCAAGAAGAGTTTTCCACCCTCCACAGCCCAGCTACAAAATTTGAGTTCATTAAAATGACAAAATAAAGGCAAAGAAGCATGTGAGCTTGAGCTCAGGAGAACAAGAGGAATTAGACTAAGACTGCAGAGCTGGAGAAAGGCCCACACACCTGACTCGAGACTTGTCTTTTGGGAGAAAAGATACTCAACGTGTGGGGTAAGGGGCTCTGGGAGGCAGGCTGTGGGGAGTTCAATACAAAGTAGCTTTAACTGACCAGAGGGAAGGAGCAGAAAAAAGAGCTGGAGGCAGACAGCCATCCCTGGTAAAGGGGCCAGAGGAAAACCTCCCAACTTCTGTCTCGGAGTTCTGCCCTCTCCCAAGAGCAGAATACACCACCATGGCCACGCCAATGGCCGCCCCCTCAGTGGCCACCTAGGAACACAAACCTCTGGGCCTGGCAGGATCCCAGCACCATGGGCACACCCATCACCACACCACCAGAAAAGAACTCCAGGAAAATACCCTCAAACAAGCGACAGAACTAAGTAGACAGGAAAGCCCGCACTGGCTTGTCCCTCGCCCATGGCCCTGCACAGCCCAACAAGAAGTGTATGTTTCTGCAGGAAGTGAGATGTCTCCATGAGAAGACACTGACCATACGCGCACCACTATTCCGAAAAGGATGACCTACATTTGACATACTGTTTCCTGCACTCCTTAAATTGTCACCAAGCAGGCTCGAGGCAAAGTGCAAGAAGAAACCTGCTTAGGAGGAGCATGGGCTCTGTGGGACGCTCACGGAGCTGCCTCTGTGACTAACACACACACCTGAGCACCCAGAAATGCTGACAGTACACTTTCCACACTCAGTGGCAATCCTAGAAGAAAAGCCACCAGCTAATGAGGGCAGGAGTGCAACCAGCGAACTTAGCAAACAGCACCTGTTCTCCAAACACCTGATTCTGAAATCAAGAAAGACACTTACACCCATAACCCCTGGGAGTAACTGCTCACTGTGCCTTCCACCAGCACAGGCACACCTGGAGCACCTGTGCTGCCCGGACCCTGCCCTGTCCCCAACCTGAAGGCCCCGGGCTCACCCCCCAAACCCCCTACCTGCATATCCCAGCCCACACCCGTGTCATGGGCAGGCCATCTGCCACCAGACTTCCCTGAAAGGCTGGGACAGATACAACACAACCACCACCATGTGTGGCTGTTTACATTGAAGTCCAATAAAATTAAATAAAACTTACAATTCAGACTTCAGTGACACTAGCCCCTTTTTATGTCTCAATAGCCACAAGTGGCTCGTGGCTGCCCTAGAGGCAGATCCAGAACATTCCATTGTCACAGAACACTCCCTGGGACAGTGCACGCCATAGGTTCTCTCTAAGAATACCTGTGTGTGTATATGTTCAAGACTGATATTTTTTCCTTCAGGTTTTTAAATGTAACAAAATCTAAGCTGATAAAAAACATTCCAGAAATAACTGGAGTTGACTTCAAATGAAAAAAACAACTCTGAGGGCTCTGACAGGAAGCTCAATTAAAGAAAATGTAAAAGGTCTGAGAAAAGCCACCACTTCCCGTCCGAGGTGTCTCCTCCTTCCCCCCCCGCAGGACATACCTGAAACAGTCCAGCACCGACCCCACCACGTCATCCGCCAGCTCCTGGGGAAGCCTTCCAGCCACCCTGCCAATTCTGGAAGAGAAGGGCAAGGGCATTCCATCAGCACCACCAGTCCATCGTAGCAGCTACATGCCAGACCAGAAGCCATCCCAAGTGATTTCCCTCCCTCCAGAGAAGGGGAAGCAGAGGCTCACCAAAAGCAGGCCAGCCAGCCACATTCTGGGGGCTCCGGGATTAAATGGGGCCTCGAGTGTCTCGGGGGTGGGGCTGTGGTGACTAGAACGTGAAGGGCCAGGAAGGAACACTGGCAGGGGAGACAGGAACACTGGCAGGGGAGACAGGCACACTGGCGTGCTCCTAATTCTGCCCATTTCAGACAGAAAGGCAAAGGGGGGGAAAAAAAGGAGCCTCAAGTCAACCTCAGTGATTATCTCTAAAATCAGGACATATGCCCTGGCCAGTCTGGCTCGGTGCTTAGAGCGTCAGCCCACAGACTGAAGGGTCTTGAGTTCAATTCCAGCCAAGGGCACATACTCAGTTGCAGGTTCAGTCCCCAACTGGGGAGTGTGCAGGAGGCAACCAATCGTTCTCTCTCTCACATCGATGTTTCTCTCTCTCCCTACCACTCTCTGAAAAGCAATGGAAAAAAAAAAAAATAATAAAACAAATAAAATAAAATTAGGACATAAAACAAATGTAAATTAGGAAGCCTGCAGCTCCCAGATTCCATGTGAAGTACTGAATGCGTCAAGGCGGGGCAGTCCCATGAGGTCTCATTCACAAGCTGTCAGCCCCCTTGCTCACCCCCACGGTGGGCAAGACGGAAGCACCTACCCTTTGGCCGCAGACCACCGCACAACCGTGTCCTTGTCCTTCAGCCCGACTAGCAGCTGCTCTGGAAGACGACAGGAAGGCAGTTCCGTGAGCTCCAGAGTCATTGCCTCACCTCCCGGCTTCAGGCACCCACCCCCCAGCCTAAGGCACCCGTCCCTCACTTCACTGAGAGAGCACCATGGAGGAAACTACATTAATCTTTATTCTAATTACAAGAAATGAAAGTTTCCTTCTCTGTGGATGAAATAATTTGAAGCCAACTTTTGCCATTGTTCCTCAGAAGCAGATCCACCCATCAGAGCAGCCAGGGGCAGAGAACACCAGGGAGGCCAGAGTCAACAGTGACCTCACCAGGGGAGGAAGGCTCCAAGAAAAAAACAGGAGCCATACGGGGAAAGGGTCTTGGGGAAGAGCCAG